CATACCCTCGTTGATGTACTTTTCATGTTTTTTCATGTTTCATGAGCAGGGAAAAGAGTAGGATGAGCAGGGAAAAGAGTAGGATGAGCACGGTAAAGAGTAGGATGAGCAGGGAAAAGAGTAGGATGAGCAGGGAAAAGAGTAGGATGAGCACGGTTAAGAGTAGGATGAGCAGGGAAAAGAGTAGGATGAGCACGGTAAAGAGTAGGATGAGCACGGAAAAGAGTAGGATGAGCAGGGAAAAGAGTAGGATGAGCAGGGAAAAGAGTAGGATGAGCACGGTAAAGAGTAGGATGAGCAGGGAAAAGAGTAGGATGAGCAGGGAAAAGAGTAGGATGAGCAGGGAAAAGAGTTGGATGAGCACGGAATTAAATGCGCACAGGCACGCAGAGAGCATGCGCAGGGGGGGGGGATGTGGAAATGAGCTCAAACAGACAGGTCTCGGCACAATATATATTAAACCAATTCATCCGTTTCTTGTCATTCGTGAATCAGCCTTTATAACTTCAACATGAATACTTTTTCTGCGGTCAAACCCCATGCTTGTAACCAGTGTGATAAAAGCTTTGGACGGAGATATAATCTCTGGCGACATACCGAAAACGCTCATGCTGAAGATGAATCTGAAATGAATGGGGTTAACGATGATTCTGAAATTGAGGTTATTCAATCTGATCATCCTGACGTGGATGAATCGGGCTCGGAAACGGACTCGGAGGTAGAAGATGACGATGAAGATGAGTCTAGTTCTGAATTAGAAGACAATGCTACATTCCAAGACTGGTTGGAAGAGTCCAAAGAAGCGACTCGTGAAATCTGGAGCGAAAAACATGAAAAGTACATCAACGAGGGTATAGGTGAAGATCAGGCCAAGGAAAAGGCTGATAGGAAGACCCTCTGGGCAGTCAAGCAAATCTTTTTTGACAAGTACAAGGATTTTCTGTCAAGTTACCTACATCTGAAAGATAACGATACTCATCAAGATATTGTGGACAATCTCGATGAAAAAATATATAAGGGCATTAGCGTACAAAAGGCTCTCGGCAGAATTATGCCTAAACACCAGATGAAATTTGACGGATTGTTCCATCAAGATGAATAAGACGTCAGCGAGGAAGACAGTGACGATTAAAGACTAGTCAACATTACAATGACGATATAATTGCGAAGAAATACATTGGGACAGACAAATAAAAACACGAGTGTTTTAATAAAGCAATAATAAAGTCAATAAAGCAATAATGTCATAACGTATATACTTTTTGCAGTTGTATTTTTCTTTGTTTGTGTTGTCTTATCAGTCGTAAAAGCCTACTCTCAGTCATAAAATTAGTGCTTGGACACGCCCTCTAAATAATCCCCGTAAAATGGTCGTAGATAAAACCCAGTCATCCTTGATTTTGTAAACAAATCCGGCACGGAGGTACAACTAGGGTTCGGTGCATTCCTGTCCAGACAGCGTTAAAGGGGCACCATTTTTCCCGTCGAACGCCAATCCCCCCACCCCCTCAACACCCCCCCCCCAAAAAAAAGTGGTTCTCACACATCCTTAGAAAGACGACCACGTTACGATTGAATTTTTAACTATGGATAGGCTATAGCTTGGTTTGGGGGTCGTTCTAGTCCTAAATATTACAAAATGCACAATGATGGTTGTGTTATTCCTATACACTCAATCGGGCACTTTCCAGGCCGTAGTTCCCTTTAAAAACCACATGCCCACACGTTTTGTTATGGCTTTAAACCACTGAATCCATTCCTTATTGTACGCGCCTCTGCAATAGAGCCTAATCGATAATTTAGCCGTCACGGATTAAGAAAACGTGAGCGCTATCTGATCGGACGGCGTGTGTACAGTAGTGTGCATGTGTACTAGCACTTGCTCAGGCTAATGCCAAAACCTTCCCTTTTCTACGATCACCGCGCACAGACATATATTTTTACTTGGATGATTCTGGTGGCAGTGTAGAAGAGTGCCATTGGTATTGTATCGATTAACAAGAGGAATATAGGCGCACGGACGGAGTTATTTATTTGCTCCATGATCGGTACGATCATCGAGGGGTGATCGACCACCGGTCTCCGTACAGACGCATGGATTATGGATCGTGGATTTATCATATACCCCCCTGGCCGACACAGGCTGTACCCTGCAAGTATGCTGCGGTGAGTGTTTGTTTATAACTTTGAAAACGCAACGTGCACAATACCCATAAACCCAATAAAAATGACTTTAAAATAATTCTTCAAATAGACAATCGTACTCGTTTCAGTCTGATCAACGCAAAATTCATTTTTGCCATCTATCACTGCTTTCTGCTTTCGAGCATTCGGAAATCCAATTACTTTTTGTATCGATCGGATTAACTTCGTAACAATACTAATGCGCTGACTTGGCACCAGCCCTCTCCCGTCTATTGTTGGGGGATTAAAGATCCGACCCAGCTGTTCGTTCACATTGCACCACTTAGTTGCAATTACATGTAGATACATATTCTCCTAAAATTGTAATATTTTTCCATACCTTATGCAATCTTTCCCATAGAATTGGTCAAACTGTACCCGGTTCCTTATACCCACACCTATTCCCTATTCATCCCATCCATTCATTAGGTCAAACTGTGCCCGGAATTTCATAATCCCATTAATTCATATTTATATATATACATATTTACATATTTACATATTTATGTGACCTTTACATATTTCTTTAGAAAAGGTCAACTTGTGCTCAACAGTCCCCCTCCACTACTTAAAATCACGGTAACCATCGTTTTACAGTCAAAACCAAATTGAAACCATGGTAAAAGCATGGTACCCATCATTTTACAGTGAAAACCATGGTGAAACCATGGTAAATCGATGGTAACTACCTTTTCAACATCATTTTACACTTAATCACATGGTAAAACCATGGTTAAACCATGGTATTTTTGGAACACCATGGTTTTACTTTCGATTGACCATGGTAACCATCATATTACATGATTAAATGATTGAGGGCGGGACACCAATTCTTATGGAAGCGCTGCTAATTCAAAGGGGACTATATTTGACACACTCGGACAATAAATGGCGCTATTCCTTGCGTATCATTTGTTTCAACTATTGGCTGAATTTAGCATGTCATGTTTGAATGCATTTTTAATAAACAGCATTTTAATATTTTTTATTATCTTTTTTAATAATTGTTTTTTAATTTTGTTTAATATTTGACAATTGTCCTGTGGGACATGATGGGCCACATCGACAAAGTCGACGCGAACAAACGTGACCAATGCCTGGGTGATCTGTGGCAGTGGGATCGGGTTGAGTATCAGCAAACGGAGGACGGTAGCATCATTAAGCCGGCAGAGTGGTTTGTATTATAACATAACTTGAACCAAATCACTTAGAAAATGAAAAGTACATTTGGGACACTTTGAGGAAATGTGAATTGAATATATGAGTGATACGTAAGGTTTTGTTTACTGTTTGCTTCTCTCTGGGGCAGTGGCGTAGCCACCGGGGGGGGTGGGGGGCGACCGCCCCCCCCCCCCCCCCATGAAACCTTGTCGCCCCCCCAGTCGCCCCCCCCCCCCCCCCCCCCCACTGAGATTTTGAGTTTCTAAAAAAAATATCATTGATCTAAATCTAAATAGTCGCGAATGATCCACATGATGACCACTGAGAAACGACCCTTCGACCGGCGACCGCGGACCAGTAAGCTGACAACCGGCATTGCCTCAGATAGCACCACAGAGCATTTAGAATCCAAAAATTTCGGGGCCCTTAAGAGGGCCCCGAACCCCACGCCTATAGCTCAGAATTCTGGTAGCTGATTCAATGACTCCAACCTCGAAAAGCAATGTTCAAAAAATTTTCTTATGCCTTTAGCTGAGAAAACCTCGAAAATTATGTTTAAATTATTATCTTTTGTGCTAAGATAATTATTGGTTAAAGTGGTAAAAATTGCCTCAGATCACACCACAGAGCATCGAGAATCCAATTTTTTTCGGGGCCCTTAAGCGGGCCCCGAACCCCACGCCTATAGCTCAGAATACCGATAGCTGATTCAATGACTCCAACCTCGAAAACGATGTTCAAATAATTATCTTTTGCTAAGAAAATATTAGTTAAAGCATGGAGGAAAGTGGTAAGAAATTGCTTCAGATCACACCACAGAACATCTAGAATCCAATTTTTTTCGGGGCCCTTAAGCGGGCCCCGAACCCCCACGCCGTAAGGGCTTCGTGCTTCGCGCTCGCATCAGTTCTGATCAAGTTATGTCCCCCCCCCCACTTTTGAGAAGCGATTGACGCCCCTACATGACGCCCCCCCCCCAATGAAATGTTCCAGCGCCCCCCCCCCCCCCCCCCCCCCCCCCCCCCCCCCCCACTGAAAAATTCCTGGCTACGCCACTGTTCTGGGGTAAATGTACATGTATTTCCTATATTAACTATTGCTTAAAAATAGAGTAAAATCAATTTTGTCTTTAACTTATATCCATGATAATGATGTGCAAGTTATGTGTTCAGCATAAACAAAAGAGATTGGAATGCGTTATATAAGTTTCCAACTGACAACGATAGTACAGGAAACGGGGTTATGTCTCTGTCACAAAATCTGAATTTAAATAATGAATCTTTAAACAAACTTTTTTTAAACATATGTTTTCCCAGCCAATTTTAGCAAAACAAATTATTTTCATCAACACGCATTCAGATTAATGCAGATTTTCCGATAGCCCCATCTGGGGTTTCTTTTCCCCTTGGGCAATGATCTTTAACGGTCATTAACTGGTCTCGAACGTTGTGTTGTTCAGGAATGAGGTTAAATTGTCAATAACAAAATTGTTTTCAGTCTGAGTTATTTCAAATATGATTACCTAGCCTGGTATTTAATGTAACCAATCAACATTATTAAATGACAAATTAAAATGGTTAAGATTACTCATTATTTTGTGCACACTAACTGCTAACTATTAATTACTAATTCATCTTCTTGCATTACTTGTTGTTTGAGAAGTTAGTCAAAATAAGACATTGTTTCCTGACTAATTCCTTGACATTGCATGGAACAAAAATTTAGACCAAATCCAAGTTCACGTTGATTTCTTCGCTACTTTTTGCGGGAATGACAGTATTTACGTGACAGAAATAAACCTTCAAAGATTTCGAGTGTTCTGTAGACCAATTAGGTCTTAAACATCACTGAGAAGCGTGAGCAATTTGAAGAATCTATTGGTCGAAGGAGCACTGACTGCGAGCGACCACCTTCACGTGAGCGTGGTGCCTCCTCAGTAGTGATTTCTACTTTTGATCGTAGGGTAAGTAAGCATGTTATATAAAACACAAGAAAATATCCCTCACCAAACTATAAAAAGCCAAAAGGCATTAAACACGTTAACTTTAAAAGGTGCAAAGAGCACGACAGTTTGCTACATAGTCCGATCATCTTATCATTATCATTAGGACTAACTGTTACAAAGCATATCATCTGGAGGAGCGATGTATTCCAGTGTTGAAAGAGTTTGTAATTTGAAAATAGGTCATATTGCAAGTTGCAATACATTTAGTCAAGGGGTAATACAGCACACCTTGCTCAGTTTGAAACCATTATATTTGGTTTTAGAGTATTTTTCCTCTTGAAGGCACGTTTTTAATACTGTTGAATTTCAATTCAATTGACTGTTGAGCTCTAATTCCCCCAAAAAGTTGTAATTAATAATAATAATAATAATAATAATAACGGAGTCTTATATAGCGCACGTATCTACCAATTTACCCATATTGCGTGTTGTTATTTAAACAAAACTCTTTTTAAAAGCCGTCTTGCTTAAAAAAAAAAAATTATTATACAATGTAGTGATTTGATAGTTTCATGCAAAATGTAATTGCTCTTTTGCTCTATACAGGACGCAATGAAGCTGTTCAATAACTTCTATTTACATTTATGCCCTAACAGTTTAAAACTCTTTCAACCGGCCCTGCAAAACAGCGGATCCAGGGGAAAACAAACACACCTCGTTTTATGTTTAGAATGTCGTAAAAACTTAACAGAAGAAATACATTTGCAACCCCCCCCCTTGCTTTTCATATTAAATTGGGGTAAGTGAAATTTTTTGTGCCCACTTTTTCGAAAATAAAAAATTGTTTGCCCCACCCCCTCCCCCAATTGTGTTATGGATCAGGTCTTGGCCCTGTATACATTACAAAGTACTATGTACATTACAATAATTTACAATACAATGCAATAAAATAAAAGTAAATGGGATTAATGCATGATTTTAAAGCAACTATTATAGCCATTGTAAAACTATTACTACTACGTGCACAGTGTGAATCAACATCGATATAAACAGACTCTACTATAAGGTGAATTAGTGAACACAAAGCATTTGGACATAATCTTGTGACATCAAAAAAAATCAAAAAAATGATACATTTAGTGAAAAAAAATATAAAACATACAACCTCCTTTTTTATTTAACTATCAATTATATACGCTTAAATAATTATTTCTCAACACTATGCTGTTTTCCACATCTCATTTGGACACCTCAATCCAAAGATTTAGACAGTTATTAGAAAGGGATCAATGTAGTCTAATTTGCAGCAAAGTGGATGAACGGAGATTAACATGCAGTAAATATCTCTGTTTGCCAACTTACCTATTGTTCTTTGGCAATCAATATTTATAAGATAACAGGTACAGAAAAGAACACAAAACAAACCCAAAAAATTACCCTCTACCATGCTTTAGTTTTATGAATAAACATCTGAACGGCGTTGTAAATGAATATGGTACGTAAACGAACAACTAGTGCCTATTTCGATTACGTCTAAGTCTTTGATGGTTTCACTGAGACATCAAAGTGACCTTGTTATGTCAAAATGACGAGTTTTCGGCCTCAGTTCCACCTCGCAAAGACTGCATGATGATCCAACGTTCGTGGACAGGATTTAAACGCTAGGTTCTTGCAATTTGCAAGATCGAAAAGTACGTCCAACACGAAACAAACGGCTAAAGGTGTGAACGCTAGAGACATGGGTCAGCTAAAGGTGGACCCGTCAATAGTTCAACACTGGCAGGCGACATGATAGAGTGATAAAGCCTAAATATCCACTGCTGCTGTGGGAGGTTCCTCTCGACTGGAAAGAGGCATGTAAGCCCCTGAAGGTTGCGGCACGCCATCAGAGAGGTTCGTGGATTGAAGCTCAAAGTCTGCAGGAGGCTGGGTGGTGTTCACTCCCTGGCTGTGACAGGCGCTATTGACGCAGAAACTGAAGCTGGAACTCTCTGCAGAACGAAGATGTTACGGACATTTATAACAAAAGAATGGGTAGGGCCTAGGCCTGTGCCATGTTAGTGATTTAAGAAATGTTGTGGGTGCCAATTGTATACGTTGCCGAAATCGTGGCGACTCTGCCAAACTTGATGCAATCATGGTAACAAGTGCACGCACAGCGCGGGGACAACGCGAACACAGTGTTTCGCTATAAAATGGCTATAAGACGGAAAAAACGATTGTTTACATCGGACACGACGGAGTACGCATACGTTTTTCCTAATGTTTTCATTCATTGCTCACCATACACATTGTGTTTGTCACGTAAATTAAATTACATAGAGCACCAATGCACAAAATGTGGTTTATTTCACGTCACGAAAGCGGAATCACAATTGAGTTATTTCGTGCGAGAACGAATTTCGGGGTGCACTTTTGCGACCCCCAAAAATCGGGCTGTTCGTGCTAGTTGTGATTTCAGCCGTAAAGTGTTCGCCTTTTTGCGGACGTGTAAAAAACACATTTGTGCATTGTTGTTGTGTATAATATTTATGCGACACACACAATGAGTGCGTTCGATTACTCCCCCCAGCTTACTCGCGCCTGGCTCCTGTTATGACAGACATGCGCAGTGGAGCTAAATAAACGAACGGTTTCGGGTAAAGTTTCGTGCAAGAGCTGGAAAGTTGAACTTTGACATGACACAGGCTGCATCCGAATCAACTGTCTAGAGCTAGGTCTAGGTCCACGCCCATTGAAAAAAAACACGGGGACGCGGTACCAATAGACGTATAGCCGTAGCTCTGGAAGCCCGTTTCGGACACGGCCTGAGGCGTCACGTTGGCAGCCATGTTTATTGTATGGCCTTATGGGATACTTACCCAAATCACCGGAACTGATTGTTTCAAACATTCGTTCTTTATACGTACTGCCAATGAGTGGAATAGTCTGCCTGAACACGTCATGCAAAGTTAATCTGTGAATGTGTTTAAAAGTTCCCTGTTTGACTTCTTGACCTTTTAGCTTAATATAGCATCCTATAATTTTTGTTTTTTATTAAGCAGGTTTATCGTAATATATTTTTACATATTTTATTAGATATATATATCTATTTTCAACTTTATTTTTTTTTACATTTTAACTCTTTTAATGCTTCACTGTTGTGTGTAAATTGTGCATTTCCATTATTGTTTAATGTTATTTTGTTCCTATCTTTCAGAATTATATTTACTAGTTTAAACAATGTATTGTTGCGCGTAATTGTTTGATAACATCTCTATTTTATCTCCTTTGTTTTTCTTGGCCAGTTGGTTTTAGGGTGTTTTTTCCACTTTTAAATGTATATGTACTTATTTTTAACGTTTTATTATTTTATTTTTATTAATGTTTGTCTGCGCGTCTATTTTATCTTTCTTGGTCTTTTTTTTGGTTGGTCATAGATTTTATCATGTTAAATTTACTTTGTCTTTTCTTCTTATACGTTAAATTCAAAATATTATCCTTATTGTTTTACAGTTTACATGATTATTTTAAGTTTTTATCTTTAACTGATTACTTTTAAGTTTTTATAGTATTTTATACGGGAAGTGGTTCAAGATGGGCTGTACAGTCTTTCCACAACCCATGACTTTGTCAAAAATGTATAATAATAATAAGAAGAAGAAAATGAAGACGAAAGGAAATACGTATGCGTATTCCGTCGTGTCCGATGTAAACAAGCTGGGGCATTTCGTCTTTTCTTGGGAACGGTTTGACATTAGGCTGTTTCCTTTCAACCAGATGTTTGAAATAGGATCAGCAGAAGCATGAAAACTTCGAAGATTTGAGGACGCAGTGCCCCTGCAAACGATTTAATACGGGCGATTCACAATAGTGCGCCTCCAAGAGTTTGCAACGCGTTGGCCAATCACAATGCGCAAAATCTGTCGACCCAATGCGCGTTTGGAAAAGGTCGACTGATTTTGCGCATTGTGATTGACCAACGCGTTGCAAACTCTTGGGGGCGCACGATTGTGAATCGCCCGTATTGAAAACATTTGCTCTTGAGTAAGTGGACTGCACAATTTACGGGTGTACAGGTTTATAAGTTTGCAAAAAATAAAGTCATCGTAAGCGAAACGGAAAGCGACACACCAACGTGTGTGCGCAGCGTGTACATACTCGGTGCGCATTTCTAACTTCGCGCACGTTGAGCTAGGTTTACGTGCTGGAGGACAGATACATTCAGCTGTTACAGTATGACTTATGTAAAACTTTTGCGCGTTCACGAGAGACCACAAAAATTGCGCATATTCATCGCACAATGAATGGGGGCGTATGCACGCGCTGCTGATCTGGTCTTTTTATTATATATCTATGGTCAACAACCTGTGCGCGTAATCGCTCCTTACCATTTCACAATCGATCTTAGCCTGGTTTCCATATCGAAGTTAAGCGGAACCGGGTTCAACTTTGCCGATTGTCTGCAAGATAGTTTGCGTCTGTCTGGGTTGTCGACGACACTTCCGGATGAAATGTTTCCATATGTCTGCGTTGCAGATTGGGCCCTTTGCGTTTCTTACGTCGATATTGAAACTGGGCTTTAACTAAGCGTTTGTTACAGTATGTCAGGTGCAAATTATCGACACCGGTTTCAAATGCTTGTTTAATATGTTCGTATCAACTACCCCCCCCCCCCCATCCATTAAAATGCGCTCGAATGTCAAAAACATGATCTCGAATGTAATTTGTAATTTCCCTCAAATCATTAAGTGTACCATCACAAGTTAATATAAACAACATCCGTCTGCTGTGGTGTGTTCATTGGATTATAAACTCTCAAGGAAGCAAATGCCTCCACCTGCTTCGGCAAAATTTTGCTGCCAGTTGCCGCCTCCTGGCGTACAAAACGCCATGGATTACTAAAGCTGACAACAGGATATTTACAATATCTTTGTTAGTAGTCTATGTCAATAAAGTGATTATTAACTTCCATGCACTTACTTCCAAATTGTTCTCCTTCAGCGATAGTATTAGGTAAGTTGCGCCCTAGAGTTTCAGGGAGCATCAGCGAGAGTATCCCAGCAATGACAGAGCAAGTACCGAAGACGAGGAGTGGCAGAGGAACCCAGTGCTTGCCTAGGATCACGATAAATGGACAGAGAATGCCGCTAACACGAGCCACCATGGAACATGCCCCAATACCCGTACTTCTGATGACAGTCGGGAACAGCTCACAAGCGTAGATGTAGACGTGGTTGAAAACGGCAGTTATGGCAAACTTGCCAACCATTGCAACTGCAGCTCTTGCTGCCCCAAGAGGAAGAAAGATTGTAATCAGGCAGGCCACTCCACCGGCGACGTACAATGCGACCATGGTCAAACGTCTTCCGAAGCGTTCCATCACATACCAAGAGAAGAACAGGCTTGGTATTTCAACTGCTGCTGACACAAAAGCAGCTAGGTAGTCATCTATACCAAGGGTAGACGTGCTCAAAGACAATCCATAGTAGACCATGTTAACAACAAACCAATCACACCACATGATGAGAGTGATCCTGCGAAGGTTAGGTGTGCGAACCAGATCAAGCGGTGTGACCGACGAGCGCTGGTTTAGGCCAGATAGCTTTACATCATCAGACGTTTCAAAGGGATTCTCCGGAACTTTGGTTCCATTGACTTTTGCGATTTTGGTCAGAATGGCGATCGCTTCATCAAATTTGCCCTTTGACATGAGCAAAAGAGGAGACTCTGGTAGAAGTAACAACAACGGCAAAAAGAAAACAAACTGAAGTGAAATTGTCAATTGCAGGTGACGCCATTCTCGTAGTAATAATGCCATCACTGACAAAAGCATTAAGCCAAAGCTGAAGAACAAATTAAACAAAGTACCGACGAAGACTCGCTTCTTTGATTCCACCATCTCAGAGGCAATGATAAAAGTCACAAGGAAGGATCCATAGAGACATGCTGCCGTGATGACACGCAATACAACGAAAGCTGGAAAGTTGGGGATGAAAGCTGTGCCTATGGAAGAGACGGTAACTAGAAGGAGGCATATGAGGAAAGTCTTCCTTCTTCCCAAAAAGTCACCGGCCAAACCCCAGACAAAGGAACCGACAAGCAATCCGACAAACCACACTGACTGTGCTAGACCAGCGTAATCCGCTCTGTCACACACCAAATTGTAATCTTCAATGATAGTCGACTTGTAGCGCGATCGGTCAAAGTCCCAGCCAGCATCGCATGGTCTCACGTCAGTTGCATTCGGGCCCAAGCCACTCCCGGTGTCTTCATCATCCATCACATACCGCTCGCATGATGAGTAAACCTTGTTTCCATTAGGACTCAGTTCGTACGGGATACCATAATTCTTCTGCAATTCCTGGCACTCGGCCTCGAAGAGCTGACTGCAGTTGATAGGTTGGCTGCCCGGGATCACACACCAATGGTCCGTGTCCGGAGCCACAAACACCTGCACCAGAAATTGACAAGCCGTCGGTATATTATAAGCAGCCAGAAGAAGAATCAAAACTTTTTGATACTTGCCAAAAGCGCCGATGTGGCGCAGTATGTCGTCGTACTGCATTGCAATTGTGAGTTAAGTTGACACAGTGAGCGTTAAGCACAAATGCACTGTTCCAGTACACATTAAACCTGGTGCTAATACGACTGTAACTGAACTGAGTGCTTGTAAGCAGTACCGATGCATGCGCTCACAGACGGTTGCGTTATTGCTGACCTCGGTATATATTTGCTGAATAAGCCTGCAGTGTGTCATATCTATTCAAGAAATAGACCTAATAATAATATTTATCATAATAATAAACATTTACATAACGCCCGAAAATGCATAATATGCTCTTAGGCCAAAACAAAAAAAGTCTCCGGTTTCTAGTATGCGCGCGCGTCGCCGTAGCCATGCGCGTCGGCAAAATGAATAAGTGTTTTTTTTTTCAATGAAAGATGATGTCTCAAAACAGCCAAACTCACTGGTAATCTTCAATGATAGTCGACTAGAATCCTGCTGCTGCACAATTTTAACGTGTTTTTAGATGGGGTTATGATTGAGAATAAGCTTTATGTGGCCTCTCTGGTCTCCCATAATAATTATTTCCACTAAGTTTAGTCGGGCACCATTTGCAGTCATCAGCCGACATTTGAAGCAAAAAAAAAACAGGTAAAAAAAAAAAAAGCCGCGTCGCCGCACTACTTTTTGGGCAAGCTCCATACCAGAAACCGGAGACTTTTTTGTTTTGGCATTAGGCACTGTACACATTAACAAAGATAAAGTAATCAAAACAATTAATGTAAAAAAAATGAACATGTAGATCAATACACAAAAGTACATTATAAGCTCAGTGAGGAAGAATTAGCTATTACAATTTCAAGCTGGTTCCAGAAACCATTCTCTCACCTGCGGAAACCAGCCTGGCATTAGGACAATATTATCGAGACGTGTCTAGCGTAGAACGAGTAATATATAGTTGGAACTCTAAAACTTAGCAGATCACACAAATAATTAGGAGCATAACCATGGAGACACTTAAACACCAAGAGACAAACTTAAAAGATCACCCAGCCTTTACTTGACTGCCAACAAGTGCAATTGCATGAGAGCATGGGTGATGTGGTCATACTTTTTTGTACCAGTGAGCAGCCTGGCTGCAGCATTCTGCACCCTCTGCAAAGGGGCCAGGTCTAGGGAGACCTACTAGAACAGCATTACTGTAATCAATACAGGAAGTAACCAGCATATGAATTATCTGCTCTTTGGCTGATTGACCAAGTGTAATGAACTGTGAAAAACTGGTTTCAGTCAGTTGCCGTGTCACGCGTAGCTGATAGCAACGCAAGGCCAGCGACAGATGGCCGTAAAAAGGGCTCCAGAAAATTCGCAATTTTCATGGCAAACTACAACCGATCCAAACAAACAAAGTTGTTTTAGGCCAAAAAAAAAAAGTCTCCGGTTTCTGGTATGCGCGCGCGTCGCCGCAGCCATGCGCGTCGGCAAAATGAAAAAGTTTTTTTTTCAATACAGGATGATGTCTCAAAACCGCCAAACTCACTGGTTTGACTGGACTCCTGCTGCCGCACAATTTTAACGTGTTTTTAGATGGGGTTATGATCGAGAATAAGCTTTATGTGGCCTCTCTGGACTCCCATATATTTGCACTAAGTTTAGTCGGGCACCATTTGCAGTCATCAGCCGACATTTGAAGCCAAAAAAAAAAAAAAAACAGGTAAAAAAAAAAAAAGCCGCGTCGCCGCACCACTTTTGGGGCAAGCTCCATACCACAAAACCGGAGACTTTTTTTTTTGGCCTTAGGTAGTTAAAGACCTACTTTATACATCCACCAAGGTATTTTTTTTCTCAAAAAAGGATTTTGAGGCATTTTGACGATATTATTTCACGGACAAATCGACTAAAAATAAGGTCATGCAATTTCCTCTACAAAAAATCTCGTGAACGTCATGTCGTTAATATTAAGAATTCGATGTACACCTAATTGTTTCCAACAATTTCCATTTTTCACAACGCAAAAATATCGTCGCCATTGTAAAGCATAGATCGAGGAACCCAAACACGGTGTGACCTTGTGACCCCATACGCCCACTATGTGCTATGTGCACGTGCTATGGACCGATCCAGTAAGCACCGCCCCATGGTGTTCTGACCAATCACAGCCGTGATTAATGTCCGACGTGCGTGCACTTAAGTCCGACATGCGTTCACGCGCGAATGATGCGCGTGGAAGGAAAATGCAGCGTGGCATTGGAGAGGAGCACGTGTTAATTTGCCCACGTGCGCACTGGGCGGAGCTTACTGGATCGGTCCATTCACATTGAATTCAGGCCAACGTACGTACGTCGGCGTACTTACGTTCGTTTACACGCGTACATGTGATTGCAAATCATGAAATCTCGCAAAAGTCTTAATTTTTCAACCGGCGATTTGGACCAAACATGAGAAGTCTCCTGCACGTGTTTCACATGAAAATGAAGCGTATACTTTCCTCTATCTAATGAATCTTGCCGTGTCTTTCGGCCTTTTTTAAGAATCGAATGTACACCTAAAAACTATCGGCCCTCGCTTTTGTTGATAAAAAAATATGATTTTGTTTGACAGGCCGTAACAACACTTTATATTTGTCAAAAGCAGTTATTCTTGGTATCAAAATGAAGCACACGATTTCAACTTTTCACATATCTAGCCATCTTGGCCAAACAGGGCATGTATCCAGGCACTTTTTGTGTTTTTCTGTAGTCTCGCATAAATCTCCGGGACAAGAAACCTCGGGACAAGAAACTGAGGTCAAACAGGGCTGTGTGCGTGACACGGCCACTGACTGGTTTGTTCTCGATTTCTTGGCACGACACTAGAGAGCACTATTTATTTATACACTGCAATACACACGCACAAAACTACGCGCATGCACGCAACAATTGTGTACAGTGAGAAAATGTATACCCCGCGTGTGAGTTTACAGTACGAATGTAAAAGAGTTCAGTACGCGGTCAGCGTTAGAGTAGCCAAACAAGTATGTCGATTTCCGGGATATTACACCAAGATACCGCTTGGTTTTACTTATGTTGTACAAGTGATAAATAGCAGAACGAGAAACATTCCTAATGTGGGATTGCATATTCAAGTTCAATTCAAATGGCGCTCCTCGACTCTTGACCTCGGATACTGCAGTGATATCGTGGTTTCCCATAGAAACCACAGTTCTGGGAATCTTCGTCAACGATGTGGATGATCCTATGACGAGAACGTCTGTCTTGTCATCGTTAAAGCCCATTCTCGTGTTTTTTTGTGTTTATTCTTTGGGGGGGGGGAGGTGTTCCAAGTGCCACATACATTTTGTTTAGATAGCGCCATCAAGCAACCCCAGTGTAATTTAAGTAGTAAACCACAAGTTACCGGATGCGGTCATTTGGTCTGGTCAGCCATGATGATTGTTTTACGACCTGTTATACAAGCCCTTAGTAAAACAAGTAAGAGCACAGCCACTTGGTTTATGTGTACATGAATGTACACATGTACATACATGTACATCAGGCCGGCTTATGCCTAGTTATCTTCTTCTGGTTGTAGGGCCTTCTATGGGGTCCGTGCGTCAACAAAAGAGGGCGCCCTTTTACCTAGCAACGACGTCCCACGGGCGGGACCATTGATCTCCATATACATATGGAGATCAATGGGCGGGACACATACATTTCGCTGGTTGACGCGCGCGAACCGTTCCTTGTGTGTGACGCACGTACACCAGGGGATGCGTGCAAATTTGGAATGCGTGCACATTTCATGCAATATACGACTGTTGTGCTGTACCATGACGTGCCGCACCGCACCCGCATGTCTTGCTCGGTCAGTTTATTCAATTTATTCCAATTTTGATTAGCTGCGTTTTGTGTTTACCTGCTTGTTTTTCCACCCCCCTCCCCCACAATGAAAGAGAACGACTAATGTAATAGATACCGTTTGATTTTACTTATGTTGTACAAGTGATACATAGCAGAGCGAGAAACATTCCTAATGTGGGATTGCATGTTCATGTTCATGTCAAATGTCACTCCAAGACTCTTGACCTCGGATACTGCAGTGATATCGTGGTTTCCTATAGAAACCACATTTCTGAGATTCTTCGTCTACGATGTGGATGATCCTATGACGAGAACGTCTGTCTTATCATCGTTAAGTTTCAAGAAATTCACCGCCATCAAGCACCTGATATCATCACAGCATGCTTCCATCTCCAACACTCGATCATGCACATCACTGGACGTTGGTCTTGCAGTAATGTACAATTGAGTGTCATCATCATAGAAATGATAACCGAGACCGTGGCGGCGGATGATGTAACACAGTGGTATCATACACATTGAACAGGAGTGGACCAAGCACAGAGCCCTGGGGAACTAAACACCAAACTGTAACGGATAAGAGGCACTTTCTGCTGAGGACGCTGACCCTCTGTGGTTTTCAGAGGAGCTGGAAATCATTTTTTCTGGTGGCGCCCCTTCGGGTACGAAGAAAACCAGCTAAATGTGCACGGTGACACACCTGCATGTACATGTGTCATTAGCCAGTGAAGCAATGTGTCATGCTCCAGCGTATCAAATGCTGCACTGAGATCAAGGAAGACCAATATTGAAACCTTACACTGGTCCATGTTGTGCAGGATGTCATTCTGAATACGGACAAGGGCTGTCTCTGTTCCATGAAAACGTTATATGCTGACTTGAAAGGTTCATGCAGATCGAGCCTCGTCATGTGATTGATAAGATGCTGCGCTACTATCTTTTCGAAAATCTTGGAGCGAAACGGTAAGTTGTGATAAGCCTGTAATGTTTGAGATTATTTGCCTGGTCACTCTTCAGATGACATAGATTCGGTAAAGGTGTGATGGTAGACAACTTGAATTAACGCCTCTGGGAAAAGCACCTTGTGTGATAGAAGAGTTGACGATTGGTGTAATAACCGGTGCGATCTCCGGTAAGCAACCCTTCAAAAGCTTGGTTGCTATTGGATCCAAATCGGAGAACTTAAGTTGGCATTGGCGTATAATCTGTTGTACATGAGAACACGTGACCCCTTCCAGTCGAAGTTCACATCCGTCAGGAAGAATGGGATCCGAGTCGCTGGCACAGTTT